GCGTCGTGGTCGTCGAGCATCCTAAACTCCACGACTCCCTCGTTCGATCCCAGATGCTTCCAACGGCTCATTTCAAATCCGGCCAACGCGCGCCCGCGACGGCGGCGACTCGAAGCCCGCCGACTCCAACCGAGCGGCTCTCCTCGTTTTAGGCGGTGAGCGTCGGCGACGGTGGCGGCGGCGGCCAGTAGCCACAAAAGCCTCGTCCCTACCCCGACTACGCGGCCCCGCGATCCCTGCGCCGACATCCCGGGGAGAGCCTTCGCGACGGAGTCCGCGTGCGTCGCTCGGTCAGTTAACGTGCGCCGGCCGTCTCGCGTGCCTCGAGGGAGCCAGAGCACCCATCGTCGACCGTCGTTGAGGTCGCGGTCCGACCTTCCGCAGTCCCCGACCCGGTACGAGTGCGCGCACCTCCCCCGCAACGCCTCGAGCTTCAATACTCGTCACAATAGGAGGACCACTGGGCGATCGATCTCGCGGTTGAGGACGAAGAAACGAGGAGGGCACCGTCCGATGCGCGGAGGGTGGCCGAAGCCAGCCCTCGAGGAGGATAGGAGCGACATAACCTGCCGGCAGCGAGGCGGGGTGCACGAGAGGAGATTCGAGGTAGGAATTGAGATTTGATTGCGATCTCGGGCAGAATTGTGCCCCGAGGGAGGAGTGACTTTTCATGCCCGTGCGTGCGTGCGTGCGTGCTTTTGCGCTTATTTGTCTACTCCGGGACGGCGGGATCTCGTTTCGCCAGCGATTCCTCGTATTACTTCGGAGTTCGGAGCGGCCGAGTGCGTCTCGTACTCGCACCGTTCGATATTATTGTGGCGGCGGCGGCGGCGGCGGCGGCGGCGGTCGGTTGGTTGGTCGGTCGGTCTGTCGGTCGGTCGGTCAGTCATTCATGAATCGGGTCGAGTCCGACCACCGGAGAGCGTCCGTCATAATTTCAAAAGCCGGCTTGAGTTTTTCCGGATTTATCGTGCGTCGAGCGAATGACTCCCCACACCCACCCCACCCCACCCGTCCGAACGGCTTTTTACAATTGACCGACCCGCTGGGCCCCTATGACAGAGAAGGAGTGTCGAGTTCGAATTCCAATTAGGAAGGCCGATGTTTGTAAATAAGGTTTCGCAAGCAAATAATCATCGGGACGATGCGAACTATCGCGTAAAAAAAGTTTGTGAATTTTAGTTTAAAAATAAATTCCTCTGCCGCGCGTTGTGTGGCGAAACGGCGAGCGGTATCCCCGAGGTGTTTATAAAGTTTCCGAATAACGTAACGTGTCCTTACGAGAGTTGGGTGCGGAGAAGTGCTCGCGACTCCATTCAAATTTAACTCGGATTTAACTAGATCGTCTCTGTAAGGCCGTCCGTTAAAAATATTTGAACGTTGCGACGATAGCGTAATGGTCAGACCGTGCCGAGACAAACTCGATTGTCGAATGCATTGCCGTTGGTAAAAGTACGGTGGAGGAAGAAGAAAAAGGAAAGAGAAATGAGAATACCCGATATCAGGTGCTCGATCTTAATTATATTTAGCTTTCTAATCGTCTCAAAAAATAATTATTCCTTATTACGACGTTTATACTATATGGCGTGGGGAACTATTTTAACCAGTGTTGTGTTGTACTACTCGTTACCAATACTTTCAACTCTGTATTAATCAAGCAGTTTAAAAACATTTTCTCCGTATTGTTATTGTAATCCGGTGGCATTTCTTAATAACCGCTGTTTGGCCACTAGACGCTACTTCTAATAATAGAGTGGAAATTTTTCTTCGTTTCTTTCTGCTTCTGTAACCGCGAATTACGTTATTATGCACGTTGACAAAAATGTGAATAATTAATTATGCGCATTAGCGTAAATGCACGTCTTTTGAAGGAAAACCGTTTCTGAAGTCGACACTCTTTTTGCGTTTTCGTGCGACTCGTATCACGGCGAGTGAAGGGTATATAACTCCTGCTTCTACGTAAAAAAAAAAAAAAAAAAAAAAAAAAAAAAAAAAAGGAAAAAAGAAAACCGTAGTTGGCAATTTAGTTATATTTTTTTCAAAAGTCTCATACCTCCTGGGAGGAAGCATCTACGAGCATCGATGGCTACTGATTGGCGATGTGTGCGCGTGTGCGCGTGTGTGCGTGCGTGCGTGCGTGCGTTTCATTTGATCATAATAAACGTCTGTATTTTGCGAGAATTCGGCTTCACGCGTAAGTTTCAGGAGACGCGAGAAAAACACTGCGCGATTCCAAGTAAAATTCACTCGTTACGTTTCAGCGACGCGGACTTCTTATGCACGTACCGACGAAACTTTCAGCGATAAATAATGCTTTTTTAAGCGAAAAATATGCAAGAAGAAAAAGTACGGACCTCACTGCCCGCATTTCACGAGGAGGCTCTTGACGACGATAGAAAAAGGAACGCGGTCTTGAGGGAAAAACAGGCTCTCGGATACCCCCCCCCCCCATCCTCACTCCCACGTAGCCCAATACAAATTCAAGTGAATTGAGAAAAGCGTCACGGCCGGAGAGGGTGGGAGATGGGGTGCTAGAATAGTGCGGCGGAAGGGACTAGGGAACGTCCTAGGTGAAAGTCAACCAATCTTCGGTCCATTTTCCCCTTATCCTCCTCGAGACCATTTCCACGGCACGTTAGCACTCCTTCGGCCCTGCCGGCCCCCTCCCCGTACCCGCTACGGGCCCGTCACGTCACTCGTCCAAAGAGGTGGTTTCCCTGGCCGAGTGCAGCGATGCAGGGGCAGACGCATGGCCGACTCAGCTGATTACTCTGGCCATGCCTCCTCCTCGCGCCGTAAAAGAGGGCGCGAGGAGAGGGGGAGGTATCGATCGTAGGCGCTGTTGCAGGTACGCTTGGATATCGCCCTCGTGCGGGGTTTTCTCTCCCCTTAGCCCCTGCGGCGAAAAATCGCCTGAATCGTTTAATTTTAGATCTCGCTGGTGCGTGGGTACTTGCGTGTATGGGTGCGTGTGTGCGTGCCTGAGTGCTCGCTCGCTCGCTTATATTGATTCGCTCGAGGGAGCCTCCAGGAAAGATAGAGAGTTTCGCTTACACGACGACGTGCTCGCATTTCGTGCCGCTACGTTTAATCGCGGATGAACGCGTCATCTTGAATGCCGCGTTTTTTCATGGCCGCGTGCCGCGATGCAGCTACTTTCGGCCATCTTTTGGTTTTAGTCGCTTGGCCGAGGGTGGAACGCGCCCTCCTCCTTACTTCTTGCGCATACGTCTTTACGAGAGAGGAGAGAGCGATGCTTCTGTCTTGCTCCAGTTTAGCCGACTCGTCGTACGTCTGTGAGCTCGCATGTATGTGGCTGGGAATTTTTCGTAGAGGCGATTGCGGGCGAAAGTTTTAGCATTACGCCATTTTGAGGAAACGGTAGGCCGACCGATGTAACTAGAGATACTTTAATTCGATGGGGCAGGGGCGCGGGAGATAATTAATTTGTCGAGAATTAGAGCTCGAGGGAGCCGTTGTCCGCGTCGGCGAAATATTAACCAAGAGTTTGTTTTTTCTTCTCGAATCAATTGTTCCGATATTTACACGACCATTGTGTAACAAAAAGTAATAATAAAAAGTTAATGGATCGTAATCAAAATAATCTTATTTATTGATTGAAAGTACAATCGTAAAGAATAGACGACAGAAGAGGAAAAAAGCTTGAGGAGGTGGAGGTGAGAGATAGATAGATAGATAGATAGATAGATAGAGAGAGATAAAACGGTTTTATTATCGCCATCTGTACACGGATTCGGGCCTTCTCACTAATTCTCGTGTCTTTCAAAGCCTTCCGGTCATTACAATGGCATACGATAAATTTCAGGTCAATAAAGCTTCCCCCCCCCCCC